CACTTTTTTATCAAGGTTTTTTCAAGTTGTAGGTAATGGCATCATTAATGTTTCATAAATATTCTAGCCAATATTTTATGGAGCATTTTAAGATATGCCCACAGAACACCAAGTTAAGGAAATCCATTTATCTGTTTGGCAATAATGCAAATATAAATGCTGATAATCTGTTAAAAATGTTTGTGGGTTTCACACTTTAAATACGCCATCAAGTCTAGACTTGGAAAATGTGCAATTACAGTGATAAATTGATTTTTAGTCCAAATACTCAGAAAATATATAAATATAAATGCTGCACGTTTTTCAAAAGAATAAATCATTCATGTAAGGGAGGTGAGTGATCAAACTGTAAGGTTGTGCCATTTGACCTGTGGAGTGTACTTTTGCTGCAACACTTAGATTTTGTCGTTTCTGTAGATTCTTTTAAAAGGCATCTCAAGATCAGATACTTTAGATCAGATAATGACAAAGTGGCGAAAGAGTCTCTGAAACACAGGTACTGGGTTGCATTTATTTCTAGTTTGATGCTTTATTATGACACTTGTAAAGCTCTTTGTGACTTATGTCTGAAGACCGATGTATAAATAAATTGTACTTATATACATTATATATATTTTTTTTAAAGAATTATAATTGTAAGCAAATCATTAGTAAATTAGTTATGTGTTCATATTAAAGTGTCATTAGAGCTTATTAATAGGTTATGTTTGAATATGTGGTTTATGTCGACACTGCAAAAGTGAGAAAGTCACAGATTTATTTATTTTTAACACAGTAGAGAATTTCAGGTGATTTGCAATGGTGAAACAAATGAGAAAGAAACGCAGCTCGGAATAACTTTAAAAAGCATAAGTCTCCTTGTGTGGGATTAGTAAGCTGTGCATAAACATCTAAAGCATGGCTATGAACCAGTATAATCCAGTTGTGTGCATATCTGTAACACCTTCAGTGGCCACCCATGAGTGGATGCTGATGTACCAACAGAGGATTTATTCAAAAAAATAAATAAATAAATTTTAAAATGCTAAAGTTAGCTATCCATTTGGCAGTAAAGAAAAAAAAGCTTAAGCTAAACTGAACTTACAGAGCCGACTGACTGATTTCAAGTTTGTTTGTTTTTTTTGTTTTTTTCCCGACTAATACTGATGTAGAGCTTTTCTAGACCAGGTCCAGATCTAGAACCAGTAAATACAAAAATCTGGACCAGGTTTTCTCTGCCAATGAACATAAAAGATTGACCTAAAATGCTAACATGGTTTAAAATTATTAAATTAAGGAGAGAGGGGGGAAAGTGAAGAGTTGGTCCTATCATTATCTTTCACAGATTTACAGTTTCTTCATCTTTTACTTTTCTTTTTTTTTTTGTTGTTGTTGTTGTTGCCATTTATTACCTTGTTTATTTTCGCGTTTTCACTTATTGATTTGTGTTTTTTCTTTTGAATTCCTCTCTTTATTTCTTTGTTCTTATTAGTTACACTATTTTTGTAATTACACCATAAGCCACAGCTGTAGTCAAAGTGCGCATGCCACTAGTATTTACGGTAACAGCACCATCGACATGAACAGCACAACGTCACCTGTGGCTACACGGTTGCTACGGTAACCTCGTTTCGTACTCCAGTACGTCCGCTAGGGGCGGAAATAACGCTTGATAAGGTTTGAAAACGCATAAACATTTTTCTTAGCGTTTATTTAAGTCATGTGAAAGTTGTTGAAGAAGTTTTACACAAAAAGGTTTTCATTACTAAGGCGAGAAGACGTAGAGAGAAAGAGACACCGCCCGTACGAGCCGCAAGGTTCGTAAAAACAAGCGCCCCTCTGCCTCCTCTGCGATCCGCGGAAGAGACATCCAGCTCACACATCTTCTGCTCTCCAACAGGGATGAAGACGAAGCTGCGACCTGCTGCTGTCTGAACGCGTTCATCCACAGAGTGAGTGACTTTCAGCTCAGACAGACCAGCGCCGCCGAACACGTTTTATTTGCGTCGCAACGAGGAGCCGAAACAAGATGGAGAGCTGCAGCTTCCAGAGCCAGCTGCTGTCCGTCATGGAGGTGCTGGCCAAGGCGGCTGTGGCGGAGATCAACCGGCGTGTGGATGACAGCTGCGCGGTGCTCCGGCTGGAGGTGAGCCAGAGCCGGCGGGACATCGAGCTGCTGAAGACCAAGTGCGAGGTGATGGAGGCGGAGCTGCGGAGGAGCAGGATGAGAGCCAGGAGGAAAGGTGGGAGCCGGGCTGAGCATTGGACTCCCCGCTGGGTGGAAGATGATAACTTATCCTAACCCAGTGTTTCTGTTGTGTGATGTTCTTCTCCAGCAGGAGAGAGGTGTTCTCCTTTAGTCAAAGTAGTTCTGAGCACAGAAAGTCAGAGCTCAGACTGGGACAGACACATGGATGCTGAGGCAGCAGATCAGCTCCAGCAGGTATGAATGCAAGTAAATATTATTTTAAATGTTTATTGATCTGCTTTTTCAATCAGTCAGGTCATTTTTTGATGCAGGATGGTTCAACGTGAGCAGTTATAGGAGGTTTTGGACACCCTCTGTGCACATTAACAATAAACATACACTAACTTTATGGGTGGAGATGTCAAGACTGCATTATAAGAACCTGATAAGTGGTGTCACAGACCTCCTTATCTGTTCAGAGATCGCTGCTCCACTGCCCACAAACCTATCAGCTGTAAATACGACCTGTGTCAGATGAGGGATTGCTTGAGATGTTAGTGAACCCTTATAGTGCATTATAAATGGATGACAAGTAGACCCCACTCCTGTGTATAGAGGGGGCTGTTCTAGTGCTCACTGCTACATCTACACAAACTATTCAACTGTGAGTAAGACAGGGGTAAAGTGAGAGATTGCTCAAAATGTTATTGGTAGCGAAATTTAATGGGGAGAGACCTCAATACTGCATTAAGTACCTGATAAGTAGTGTTGTAGACACCCTCATTCAAGAGGCTTCTTCAGTTGTAACTGACCAATGGGGAGTCTCAGATATAAACTGCTACCCCTAACTCACTTTGCTAAAAGCCTAGTGACGACTCAAAATAATTGCTTGTCATTCTGATGTTAACATTTGTTTCTTTCAAACTGGATGTGTTGAAGTGCAGACTTAAAAAGTCCAGCTGTCCAAAAACTCAAAATCTGGACTGTAGGTATAATACGGTAAAAAGATGGGAACAAACATTGTGCCAACAACAGATTTGACTTTTAAATGTAGCAGAAGTTAAATCGGCCTTTAATCTAAAACCCACAAACAGGAAACAAGGATAAAGTAGAAAACTGAACA